CGGAAAAAAAAAAAAAAAAAAAAAAAAAAAAAAAAAGATATATTTACATGTACCAATACAGAAATATCTCTAGAGATCATGTGTTAAATGAAAAGAGTACAGAACCATATTTTAGTTCAACTCAGTTTTAAAAAAAGATTTACTTGTATAGGAAGAGAAAATTTCTCGAAAGAGACAAGGGACAACAGTATTTATCTCTAAAAAAATGTTCCTATTATAAATACTGACCCTTTGTTATAAAATTGTGATAACGGTTAAGCATAATAAATGTATACATTAACATGCTTAATGTTAACCACATACATGTGTGAATTTTATAATTAAAAACAAGTTTAGGGCCGAGCCCGTGGCGCACTCGGGAGAGTGCGGCGCTGGGAGCGCGGTGGCGCTTCCGCCACGGGTTCGGATCCTATATAGGGATGACCGGTGCGTTCACAGCGCTCACTGGCTGAGCGCGGTGTGGCCGGTCTCAAAAAAAGGACAAAAATAAAAATAAATAAAAACAAGTTTAAATTTTTAATGTACAGTTGATAGTTTTACAGACTTGTAGTATCCTATCACTATTAATGATAATGAAAAGCAGGAAGGCAAGTCTGCAGGTCCCAGCTGAAGGTACTCATCTCCTCTATCAAATGTCATCCATTGTGGCAAAAGTGCAGTTTAACAAAAAAGAAAAACTGGAAATCAGTGTTCTAAAGTCAACAGAACTCTTATGAAAATGTGAAGTCTGATAAGTAAAAGAGGAAAGCAGAGCTACTCTGAATATAGCAAAACAGAGGATCTAGAGGCTGCTGTTTTAAGCAAAGACGCATGGAGTATTCTGAACAGACAAGCACTACAATGTGTTTGAATTAAAGCCTGCATTAGTTCTCTGAGACCAGATTTTTAAAAATTTCTTTACTTTTCAATGTGGAGTCAAATGGCTTCCAAGCTGAGGAATATTTTCAAGCTTTATTTTTCCTAGAAAGAATTCTATGGCAGAGATTAAGAGAGACATCAGTTAGAAAATGCACTTTTCACGGTAGGTACTTTGTATATATTGTCAAAAGATGAGAACCTAGGGCCAGCCCATGGCTCACCTGGGAGTGTGTGGTGCTGATAACACCAAAGCCACAGGTTTGAATCCCTATATAGGGATGGCCGGTTAGCTCACTTGGGAGAGCGTGGTGCTGACAACACCAAGTCAAGGATTAAGATCCCCTTACTGGTCACCTTTAAAAAAAAAAAGAAGATGTGAACCTAATCCAAGGCAGTAGGAATAAAAAGAAACTGATAAAACACTAAAGTGGTGGAATAGTCAAGACTACTTCAGTTAGCTGGATTGACTGGGGAAAGGGTGTGAAGGAGAGAGGTGAGTCAATATACCAACAAGTTTTTAGCCTAAGTAGCTAGTCAGAAAGAATAGAATGGCAGAAGATAGATTGTTTTATACTTGAGCTTGAATGTGAGATACTCATGAAGAGGTCAAACAAACAGAAACACAACCCTGGAGTTCAGAAGAAAAATTAGATTTCTGGGTTACTAGCACATGGAAAGGTGATTAAAAAAAAAAAAAAAAAAAGACAGAACCTCAGGAGCTGCCATTTGAGGGGAGAAGGAATGATCTCCAACTTGAGAGGCCAAAGGGAAAGGTAAGTGAGAAGAGATGCTCAAGGGCCAGCCCGTGGCTCACTAGGGAGAGTGTGGTGCTGAGAACACCAAGGCCCCGGGTTTGGATCCTATATAGGGATGGCCGGTTAGCTCACTGGTTTAGCGTTGTGCTGACAACACCAAGGCAAGGGTTAAGATCCTCTTACCGGTCATCTTTAAAAAAAAAAAAAAGAAGAGATGCTCCTATCATCAAATGCTACAGAATAAACTCATAGGTTGCAATCTGAAAGCGAATGATGATTGCAGAGTCTTGGGAGTGAAACAGATTATGTACAGAGAAAAAACGCAGAACAAAATTGGTATCCTAAATACTCAGTTCTTGTAAAAAAAAATAAGAGAAATTTTTTTTTGAAAGACTAAAAATGTATCCTTGGCACCTAGCACAGGACCTGGTATAATTAGAGGGATCAGACTACAGAGGTTTGAATAGTTAGTGAGAGGTAAAGTAGTACTAATAATTAATACTTTTACATGTTGGAGAATGTTACTACTGAAAGGCGGAAGAAAAACTGGGCAGTAACTTGAAAGGGGATGCTCTTAGGAAAAGAGCTTGTTGTTTTGGAGGTGGAGTGGGGACTTCTGTCTCTTAATGTTTGATGAATTCCTATGTGGAATTTTTGGTTCTGGCAAGTGAAAATTAAATAGTCAAGTTTAATAGTTTGTCTGAGAAGAAGCAAAAGCCAGGAATAGAAGGATATAGCAACCAACTGGTGGTAAGAAGGCATGGAGAGTAGGAAATTCTAGCAGCAGGATTAGAGGAAGGACTGAAAATAAAAGGGATTGGGGCTTTTAAAGAGTTAAGAAAGCACAGCAAAAGACTACCATAAAAGCTGCTGGAAAAAGCATTCTTAAGAGCAGACCTAGCTCAGGGATACCAGGCAACAGATCTTCATGAGCAGAACAAAAGCATACTTGAGAAATTTCAGAAACTGAGCTAGGAGACCACTAGAGGATCCATGAAGATAGGAATTTTTGTCCATTTTATTCACTGCTTTATCTCCAGTGCTTGATTCATGATGAGTATTCAACTATTTGTTGAGTGACTGAATATAGCTAACACTGGATTACTGTTACTACAGGCCAAGTATCCTTTGTCTGAAATGCTTGGGACGTGTTTCAGATTTCAGATTTTTTCAGCTTTGAGTATTTGCAAATATATAGTGAGATATCCTGGGGCTCAGAACCAAGTCTAAACACGAAATTCATTTATCTTTCCTATATACCTTATACACACAGCCTGAAGGGAACTTTATGCAATATTTTAAATAGTTTTGTGCATGAAACACATGACCCATCACATGAGATCAGGTGTGTTATTTTCCACTTGTGTCATGTCAGTGCTCAAAAAGTTTAGGATTTTAAAGCATTTCAGATTTCAGATTAGGGATGCTCAATCTTTATAAGGAAAAATTTCCTCACAGTAAGATCTTATCCTAATAGTCAAGGGAAAAACTAGGATTTGGCTGTTTTGTGAATAAGGGGATTGAGAAAAACTCTTCATCTTGACTGAGGAAAATGTTAAGGTAAACTAGTAAGGACAGAGACCGAAGCAGAATAGGGGTAGCAAGTCTGAATGCCTACAGAATCCAGGTGGGTTACAAATGAATTAAGTAAATTAGAACTCACATACTCCATTTACATGGACTGCCTATATTCAGCTCCAGCCAATTATTGCCCTATTAAAATGCCAGCCCACTATGGCCAGATCTTATGATTTCAAGAGAAACCAGAAAATTCAGATTTGCAATATCTAACTCAAGTGTTGTTACAAGGGACCGAGCCCGTGGTGCACTCGGGAGAGTGCGGCGCTGGGAGCGCTCGCCACGGGTTTGGATCCCATATAGGGATGGCCGGTGCACTCACTGGCTGAGCGCAGTGCGGCCTGTCTCAAAAAAAAAAAAAGTGTTGTTACAAACTAACTTAAAAAAAAAAAAAAACACTAAGGGCCAAAGAAGACACACCTGCACCTGCAGGCCACATAGGCTCCCAGTTCTCAATCTGTTCTGGCAAATTGAGAATAGAAGGAGCTGATCTACTAGAGAATAGCAAGGAATACCTGAAAGATGACAGGCTCAAAATAATACAGTACTTAATACATTGCTCTATAGCCCAGCAGTTACTTAACTATGTAAAAATAGGTACAGGACTAAGAAAAAAAAAAAAAAAACCCCCATTGTATCCCTCCCATCATAAAACAGCCCAAGTCAATAGGGAGGGAAACAAATGAGGAACTGTTTGTGGCTGCTAGAAAGCAAGCATCCATAGGAGTTTATTCAACTACTCACAGCCCTCCAACAGTTCTTTCACTCTTTGAGCCAAATACAATTTTCTGGCAAGAATCCAGGCTGTCCTTATTTCTACTTTACATGATAAATGGCCCTTTCCATCTCAAATCAACTGCTCTTCCTGCTATGCCTACATTTTCCCCTTTCCAATCCCAAAGCTTTTTCCTATACATAAAGTTTCTAAAATAGGGAGTATAGCTTTTCCAAACTTTTCCTATCAAACATGGAAGGAGAGCCAAAAAGGTATACCATCGTTAGTTATAAGGGAAATACAAGCTAAAACCACAACTAGATACCACACACTCACCAGAATGGCTAAACTTAAACAGAAAATACCAGGTGCTGGCCAGGAGATAGAACTGGAAATCATATACTACTCAGTGTACAGTGGAATAATCTCTTTGGAAAACTATCTGGCAGTCTCTACTAAAGCTGGCTATCCTATGTCTCAGCAATTCCACTCCTTGGTATATACTAAACAGAAATAAAAGCATATATCCACCAAGACACGGACAGGAATAGGAACCCTATTCATAATAGCCCCAAAGTGGAAGCTCCCCAACGTTCATCAACAAATGGGACTGTGATATATTCCTTCACTGGAATGCTATGAGAATAAATCACCTCCAATTACAAGCTACAATGAGTTCTGATGTTGAGTGAAAGTGAGAAAATATATTCTGTATGACTCCATTTATGCAAACCTTGATAGCAGGCAAAACCATTCTAAGTCAAAATAGTAGTTAACCTTGGACATCAGTAATGATTAGAAGGAGAGAGGGGGCTTTTGGGATGTTGATTAAGTTCCATTTCTTGACTGGGTTGCTGGTTACCTGAGAGTTCACTTTGTAAAACATTGAATTAATCCTTATGTACACTATTCTATGTTACACTTCAATGAAACTAAGAAAATAGAGCCTATGTTTAAGTATTATCAATCCTCACCTCTCTACAATTAATCTCTATTAATTTATTCATCTAGGTTTACTTAGCACAACAAATTCCTTTCACATGTCCCAATTGTGCTTTGTGCTTTCTGCTATTTAAGGAAAACATAACAATTTTTACAATTGGTCACATTATTGACAAAGATGAATCTGAAAGTTTAAAAGTTCTTTATACCTATGTAAACACTTCACCAAAACCCCTTACAACATTCTGCATACAAGAGGTAATTAGCACCAGAAATATTTCTCCATATTTTAACATAATGGAATAACAATCACTGGAAACAAGAGCCCATATGTGTATATCTCAACATTCAAAAAGCTACCTCAGCATTCGTTTACAGCAAAACTACTGTTCAATTTTCCCTAAAGCCATCATTTAATAGTCAATTATCTTGCTAAAAATCATATTAAAAATCAACTCTTCCCAGCCACTATTCTTATCCATAAAGTCTGGTAACATTTCAGTCTTCTAAACTGAAGATGTCTTTGCTTGGCTACATCAGGTTTATTAGCCTATACTCTGTAGATGCAGGAAAAAACAAAACCACCTTCTCTAAAGCTTACAATAGATGCAGGAAAAAACAAAACAACCTTCTCTAAAGCTTACACTTTGGTACCTAGAATATAACTAAAAAAAAAAATATTCTTGAATCAGCTTTGTTTCTTCATGGGTTCAACGAATTCATAATGAAGTGTTTCTATGTAGATGCAGGAAAAAACAAAACCACCTTCTCTAAAGCTTACACTTTGGTACCTAGAATATAACTAAAAAAAAATATATTCTTGAATCAGCTTTGTTTCTTCATGGGTTCAACGAATTCATAATGAAGTGTTTCTATGTGCACTCCGATTAATGAAAATAATAACCACATCATTCCAGTAATATCAACCCAGAGTTGTAAGAAATGAAGTGTACTTACTGTGTAAGTAGAAGAATAACCTGATGGGTAAAATTCGGGGGCGTTCGCAGACAGCTTAGACATTAATACAGGAGCTACAACCACCTGGGGTTTAGCCATTGCTGACTCCGAGTTCTGCTGTGGGATTTTATCCTGTGAACTAGCTGGAGCTCTCAGGGGCCTCGTTTGTTCTGAGAAACAAAAATAGGGATGTTAGTAGTTATACAAAGGAATGAATGTACCCATCTACTGAAAAACCATGTGAAAAGCGCCGGTTTTTAAGAGTTAAATAAGAACCATCACGAAATGTAAGGTTATCGCCAGAACATGTACAGAGAGCCTGCAAAAACGAACAATAGACTTAGTTTAGCTCATTTATGAACATACCTGCCTCCTCCCAAATGAATGCTTGAGGACTGCCTCCCCCTCTTTTTTAAGGAATTGGTTAAAAAGAGGTGGTTGCTCGCCCAAAGTCTCACTTTAGAGATCTGGGGAGGGGGTAGCGATTTTTACTTCCTCCCCGGACGGCTGAACTCAGATCGCGGACCCAGCCCCTCCCCCAGCCGGGGCGCACAAAGGATGCCAGCAGCCACCTTCCAAACCCGGTTCTGGGCCTGTCTCTACCCCGTTACAAGAGGGCCCCGCTGGGGAAGCTTTCGGGGAACCGGGAAGAGAGGAGACAGCGCGCCGGGCCACGGCCCGCGCGGAGGGCCATGGGGAAGCGTTGGCCCAGGAGACGGGGTCCCCTAGAGCTGCTCCGTACCTGGGAGCGCCCCGGGCCGGGGAGGCCGCTGGGGGCCGGCGGGGACCTCGCACTGGGC